CGAAGCAATCAGCGAAGTGAGCAGCAACGGTGGAGCTAGCGAGCCTTTGGCGGTGTTTTGCTCCGGTTGGTGGCAGGTAAGTGGATGGGTTAAGAGGATGGTGGGTCTGCTTCAGCAATTCCATTACTTTTTTTTGGCAGAATTCGATAGGCTTAACTTACAATTGATACTAAAAAACCATCAAAGGATAAAAGAACAATGCTCAGGAGTGGATATCGGTTCTTGATCACAAGTTTGTTCAGCTCTCGATAGTTGATGCATATCCTGAACGATCCATCCTTCTTTTTGACAACCATACCGGGACTCCTCATGGCGAGAAGGTTGACTGGAAAAAGCCTTTTTTAAGAAGTTATTGGAGTTAACTGGAAAGTTCTTGCATTTCCGATGGAGCCAGACGATAAGGAGATCTTGCCAATGTGTTCCACCTGGGATTAGGTAGATTTGGAATTCGATCTGTCTGACTGGAGGCATTCAAGGTAGATCCTCTGTAAATACTTCCGGGTAGTCGCACACTTACGATATGTCTTTTATTTCCTTACTCTTGTCTTGCATATCCACCACGTGGGCAAAGAAAGCGAAGCATCTCTTCTGAAAACACCTTCTTGCTTTCATGCAAGAAATGATTCTTAGATTCTTTCGTGGTTTATCTCCGTAAATCACGAGGGCTTCGTTGTTGAGAAAGGTAGTCAGATGGATTTTTCGTAACATAAGATTTTCGCTCAATGTAGTGATAACAAATCCATTCCAATGATCACATCGAAACCTCCAATGGTCATGTGTATTAAGTTAACGTGAAAGACGTGGTTATTCAGGGTGAGAAGAAAATTAGTAAGTATTTCTAAGGTGCTTTTCTAATTGGCTGTTTTCTACTTTCACCATGTAAGCTTCATTAATTTTGCATTATTTAAGGTTAATCATGCTTCTGAACTTATGGGAAATAAAGCTCCTATCAGCACTAGTATCAAATAATACTGATGCATAATTATTGTTGATAGGAAACGTACCAGTGTCCACATTTGGTTCCTGGTGATCATCTCCAACACCTATCACAAATGCTCTTCCTTTGCGACCCTGGTTGTTTAGTTTAGGGCGGTCCTTCTTAAAATGCCCTGGTTGATTGCGTTTGAAGCAACTTCGACTTCCTCCTGCAATAGTGGTTGATGTTGCGTTGTTTGGGGCATTTCTGTAGTACTTAGAGGTGTGACCTATCAAGTCACAAATGCTGCAGACAATACAATTTCTGACATGGTGGAAATTGCACTTGGTACGGTGGGGGTAAATTCCCAGGGTAGGGCTTTTATGGAGTGGGGGTGTTTGTGATTGCAGCGTACACAACCATAGGTTTTGATTGGGTTTACGATGCTTAAAGTTCCCTCTTTGACTTGTCACGGAACTTCCTTTTTGTACTTCCAACCTAGTTCTTTTCAGTTTGTGGGGGTCATGGTACCCTAATGGATACACTGCTCAATCAATTGATATGCTCAGTGCTTGGCACTACCAAAGGTAGTGGGCCTGGGTGTAGTAACCAAACCTTGAACTGGTAAATCTAATCCTCAGATGTACCTTTCAGTCTCTTTGTATTCCGGGTTCACCATTTAAGGTCAATGGTTTACGAGGTCGTTAAATCGGGAGGTGTAAGTAGTCACCTCAAATCCTTTCATGGTAAGGTTCCAAATTATAGAGAGTGATTGATATATGAAATACTATAGATTTCCAAATTATAGAGAGGTAATTAAAATCCTACCGATTTCAAATGATAGATAGAGAAGTTTGGAGACTACTGAATGATGGATTGGGCACTATGGATTTCTCTTCTACGACAGTAGCGGAGCTACTGGTTATTTGTTCTTCTTTGGGTTTAGGTGAACTAGGAAAATCTGAATGTTATCCCATATTTTTAAGTATGTTAAAAATGTATATGTTGTTTTGGGGTTGATATAAGGTTTTTAAGGTACTAGGTTTCTACGGCGAATCTTGCGAACATCCTTCAATCTCTAAAACTTTTAACCATTGTAGTCTGTCAAACTTCTTGCTCAAGGCTGGTTATGCACCGCCCGATCATAAATAACATAGGCATACGTTCCATGTTTATTTAGGGTATGGCTTATGTACGGTACTTACCTTAATTGAGGCGTTTGGCCTAAAGGGTTGAGTTGGTAGTTTTAGCTGGAGGTATGTTAGAATTTTATTAAGTGTTCTCATCGTGGGTCAGAGTATACATATATAACTCTTATATATTATTGTTGGTGGGGTTTGCATTATTATTAAATTTTGTTTTGTACTCTAAGCTTACCAAGTACAGACAAGGGCCAGACAGGAAACACTAGAGGACATGAGCATTTTAGCAATTAAGCCGTTCTGAAATCCAACAACCCAAACGACATTTCAAACCAGATTCCCCGTACTGTAAGTAGCCAAGAAGTAGTGTAATTAATATTAATAATACTTTTATTTAGAAGCAAGTTGTTATAGTTGTAATCCCCTTTCGAGGATACAAGTTCTATATAACCAATTTAGCTCTAATACAAATCTGTCACACCCCGGCAGAGGTGGAAGAACATGTTGGGCTGTGCGACTAAGTTCATGGATCATAGGTAAACTGAATATATAGCACAAGTACAACAGTAAACAATATAACATTCGTGTTCCATCTTGATATTTGAAGACAAGGTTTTCACAATAATAATAATACATGAATTGTCTTAACAGATAGCCATATAATACAACAACAAGTAAACTAGGTCATCTGTAATCAAATCTGTCTTGAATGTCTTTTTAGTGATTTCCTGAGAATACATGTAGTTTTGAGGGTCAACACAAGGTTGGTGAGAGTCATAGGTTTTTTCCTAGCAGCAGCAATGATACTTTTAAAAGCGTTTCAAAAAGTATTTTCTTTATAAGTAATCCATATTTAAATAAGCTTTGAAAAATCCAAACAGTGTCTTGGTATAAGTAATTTCATGCTTAAAACGGTTTTTAAACGTACCAAGTTTAGGAGTTGTAGTAAGATATATATATATATATATATATATATATATATATATATATATATATATATTATATATAATATATATATATATATATATATATATATATATATTCAAGTTAATGTTTATAGTGAGTCCTATAACCGAGCTATAAGATTTGAGTGTAACCTGCTACAACGCTTCATTGGCCGTTGCAGTAACGATTGTAGACACTTATCACCGGCTTCGATTGATCAGTCGAGGTTGTAGCTAGCAATCGCAGGTGGGGATGTCAACCTCATATATATTTATACATATGTATATCACTCTAAAGATTAACAGTTATAGTAGTGTGGGTATGCTAAGTGTTTAGACTCAGCTGATGAACATGTCTCACTAAAAATCCCTTAACTAAAAAGTTTGTGAATAGCTTTCATCCCTAACTTAACTGTGATTAAGTCACTAGACATAATGAATTTCATTGTATAAAGTTTATAAAAGCCGACTATGCTTGGTATGTATGTAAAAGTGTAATGTACTTTCTTTTATAAAGATGTATGTTTCAAAGTAATTAATATATGTATATGTATAAACTTTATGCATTTAAACATATAAATATACATGAATAGTAATAGCTTGAATCTTTGAAATACTACAAAGTGTTATTACGTGCTTGTCATAATATACAATGTTACATAAAAATCATATATTTTTGTATCATGTAACTTTTTTCGTGTGGACTAGTTGTGTATAAAAAATCTGATCTTCTCAGATTTGATTTGATTTTAACGTGATTTGTGGTGTACAATTTGGTAATTTGGTGTAAAAGTGAATTTTGTGTACAATTTGGTGTTATTAATGTATTTTGTGTACAATTAAAATGCAATTTTTATTTATTTATTTATTAGGTGTGAGATCTATGTATTATATGAGTTTATTTAAAAGAAAATTTAATTGAGTTTATTTAAAAGAAAATTTAAATATAAAACTTTTGAGAAGTTTGAATTTCAAAAAAAATAAATAAGAAAAATATTGAATTATAAAAATTAAAGAGTTTTTTTTTTCTTTTTTAAATTTAAACAAATGATTTTGATAAAAAAAATAAAAGAAATTACTGAAACTTTAATTTAGTAATTTTGAAATTAAAAAAAAAATCCATTAATGAAATTTATATGTATTTAATATTAAATTTAAATAATATATGAAATTTAATAAAATAAAAAAACCGTAGAATGACATTTGGAATAAAAATTAATTTAAAAAAATTATAAAATTACATATGACAAAATGAATAAGAACTAGCTGGGTACCCCGCTCCGCAGGGTTTGGTTTTGATTAGGGTTTTATTTTTTTCTTTTTCAGTATGTATTAGGAAGTAATGTTTGTATTTTAATGGATATTTTATTTTTGTAACATGTATATATGTATGGTAAATTTACTGGATTAACATCAATCATCTTAAAATGACTCCGCTCAAGGTTTGTAAAGATTTCCACGATTTTAAAATGACTCTTCTCAGGGTTTGTAAAAGTTACACGATTAACATCAATCATCTTAAAATTCCAAAGGATGGTAGCTGAAGGATGTTAGCGTAGATTAAAGTTGAGGAAAACATGAGTAAATCAAAGTGAGTTTTACCTCAAGATAGTAAAAAGCACAAGAAACTTATCAGATTTGTAAAAACATTGGTGAAAACAAAACCTTAGCTTTTTCTCAAAACTGTCAACGTATTGTATATGTTTTTTCTCAATTTTTATAGGAGCCAGCATCATAGAACTTTTTTAGTATAGAGCACAACAAAACCTTATAACTTCTTGGTTCTTCCTAAGTTTTGGAAAGCCAATTTTTATCCTATTAACTTACAATTGATACTAAAAAACCATCAAAGGATAAAAGAACAATGCTCATAATAGATAAATTCCAATTGATCATCTAATCATATAAACCATCATGAAGCCATATATCAACTAAGAAGTCTAATATCATGTGCAAAAAAAGAAAAAAAAACAAAACTTTTGTTCGGTCAGCACAAAGTTGACTTTTGAATGTTTACAATAAGTCAAAATACTCAAGAGTGAAGATTTCACTACACTGAAATAGTTTGGGATTAAAATGCTTGTTTTCTGTAAATATAGACAAGATTACAATATTGAGTGAACACATCTAAGAAAAAATATTTGATTTTGGGTGAAAAAATGAAAATATTGCAATGTTCGTGATGTTTGATTCCATGAAAGAGTTGTAAGAAAACAACTGTTACCGGTAACGGTATTGGCTCACGAAAATGGTCGTTATTTGAAAGCAAGTCTTCATAAGTCGTTGAGCAGCTACCTTGATTTTTGAGATTAAAATTAGTCGACATCATACCAAAATTTGGGCAAAAAACGAAATTAGAATGTAAACTAAGCCTTGTGACATGATCTTATGGCGTTCTCTCTCTTTGTGATCTTTGAGAATTGAAATAGATCCCCAATCCATTGTCTTCTGCTCTCATTCCAAGAAATCGTAGCGCTACTAAATCAAATAACTGATTTATAAAATATATTTGAGAAAAGAGCAATGGACTTTCAGTATTAACTTACTTCCTTTGTTTCCGGATGCTTCCTTGCTTCTTTTGCAGGCGTAGAAACTTCTAAAGGCCGAGAATTTCCAGTATCCACTTCCATCATCATAATATTAACTTTGAAACCTGAGGAAATCGGAAAAAAAAAAAAAAAGTAACAATCAATAGAATGGAATAAGAATTGAAGCTTCATAATCAAATTAAAAATGCATCAAGTTCAACTGTCTTCAGGGTTGCTGTTCCAACTTCATCCTGGAACAAAAATCACATATCAGTTGTAATATGCAAATAAAAAATACTCTAAAAACAACACCAAGCCAGATGAAGTTCCATAGATAGCATATAATCACCTTCAGTTAGTTCAATACGAACTGGAACTGGAACTGGAACTGCAACAAACCCACTTATCATATGGTAGAGTAAAATCACATTTCTACCCTTGTCCATCTCATTTTGTTTTTGTTCTGATTATTCCATAGCATATAATCATCACTTTCAATTCAAACATCAACTAAACCATATGAAGATTAGACAGAAAAAGAAAAAGTTATACCTCAATGGATTTGCTGGGAGCAACACGAATGACATTGACCAAATTGCCCCTAAAGAGGCTAGTCCAACCGCAATAGAGAGAGCTAACTAAACATAGCCCTAAAGAATTTATGTAATCTGTTAACCCAATTTCAAACCAAATAATTAAAATTACAAATCGAACGAAATCGGAAGAAACCTCTTCTGAAGTAAACATAAGGATAACATATGGTACTTAAGTTAATTTCTAACCCTATAACATCATACTAATTCCATACACATACAAAGCTTGATAAATTTCAAAGTTGGAAGTTAATACAATGGAGTTAGAGGAACCACTTAACAATAAAATGATATAACTGAAATGCAAATTGTGAAAGTTTATGAGCATAAGCGGTGCAATAAAAACATAATAAAATTTAAAAAAATCAAACTAAAATTGGAATGATTAAAAATTTATCAATGTGAGAGACCAGATATTATCCTGTATCACCATTCCTAGAGAGGATGAAAACGGTTTTTTCAATTCCAATTTTTTTTATAAAAAACAAAATATAGTAAATATATAAAACTGCTGATGTTTATTATCAAGTTCAATTGTCTGTCACATTCAGTTCTATATCCAACCAAAAGAGAGATTTCGAAAGAATGTTGATATATGAGAGCTTTTCATAAGACGTTTAAGGTAATCTAATCTGATTTAACATAAAATATAAAGTGTAAAATGAGGTAGTAGCTGCTGTAAAGACATCATTTGCTGTATAAAATAAATCAAGTTATCATCAAACTCAAAATTCCATCACTCAAAGACTCAACAAAACAAAACTACTCCACAAATGTATACCTGCATCATTTGAGGTGAAGTTAACTGACGAAGCACCTTTGGATTCTGCATCATCTCCCTCAACTGAGGGTTAGAATCGAACATACTGCGAAGTTGAGGGTTTTGACTCACAATCTACAAATTCACATTACCAATACCATTAAAAAAATTACAAAAAACTTTGATACCTCAACTATAGTGTATATCATGTTTGACATACCTGCTCCATATACTGGGGATTTGAAAGCAAGCTTTGCATCATCTGAGAAACAACAGAATTCTGCAACATGAGGCTCATATCTGGCATGCCACCTGTCATGTCTACCCCTGATAATCCAAAAGCAAACAATTTCATATATATTATGGGAACAACCATTAAAAGTATCGACGATTGACAAAAGCAAACAATTTCATATATATTATGTGAAATCTTACTGATGGAATTTGGAGCAAATAGAATAACAATGATGAATTTTAACAAAAGAAAAGTGAAGAAAGAAAGCACAAAATTACCTACCACAAAGCAGAACTTCCACGAAGATGGTGGAGAACTCAGTGAACAGGTCGGATTTGGTCATGATGCATTTCATGTCACCCAACTCCACAACTGGCCACCACCTGTACTGACGGTTGTAAAAAAATCACCACATGCAACAGAAATAACGGGAACACAAGGTCAAATTCGTCGAATTTAAACCCTAATTTCAAGGAAATCGGAGTTATCGAATAACATCATTGTATAATTTGAACTGTATGTGTTACCTTCAGTTCACAGGTGAATTTGTGCTTTCCGAGAAGAACATACGGGTGAAGTACAGCAGTTGTCGGCGGTTGATTGGAACCTATCTTCGATATCTCCTCTGTTTCGAACTGGGTCACAGAAGAAGCCGACGGAGCAGGTTAGTTAGAGGGCTTCGACGGTGAGGATTGCTGGGTGCAATGAAATCTGTGAACAACTAATTGGGAGGTCGAGAAGGCAGAAGTATATGAAGCACGGAAAACGAATAGTGATTGAAAGAGGAAAAGAGGGTAGCGGCACCTGAGATGTTTCTTAAAAACCAGAATCGAGCCCTAATCTGACACGAACTGAAGCAGACGTAGCGATGGCGGTGCTCAATCGCTTCTTACAAACTCTCGGAATGACAGATGGTGGTAGCGGCGCCGATCGATGCTTTTCAGGAACATCGACATGCTGAAGAAGTTGGAGGTGGCAGAATCGAGCCCTAATCTGACACGAACCGAAGCAGACGTGGCGATGGCGGTGCTCAATCGCTTCTTACAAACTCTCGGAACGACAGATGGTGGTAGCGGCGCCGATCGATGCTTTTCAGGAACATCGACATGCTCAAGAAGTCGGAGGTGGCTCATCCCACCAAAGGTTAGTGGAGTTTCGATTATGTGTGGTTGATGGCGAGAAAAGTATGAAGCAGAAATATGAGAAGAATCCAGAACATATCGATGTTATGCACGATCATCAACACGTGCATGCAGACGCAATACAGTGGGGGAAGATAAAGACACGGTAGATTGCTAACACGTATACACAAAGAATATACCTAATGTCAAAATATGCCCCCCTTATAAAAAAAATATATCATTTTTGTCAAACTGTTCACCAGTTCACTATTCATCTTTTAGGATAAGTTTAATATATATATAATATAATAATGTGGCTTGTGGAAAAAAAAAATTTATTTATTAAAGTAGATTTATTTTTTTGACCAAGTATTACACTCCTTGAATTGTACTATATATGTATGAAACTCACAATATATGTGAACATTTTTCTTTATAATTTCTTGTGTGAGAGTTGGTATGAGGTGAGGGTTAGGGGTGAGCAAAAACGGGTACCCGACCAAATTGCTTGGAACCGGAACCGCAATCGGAACCGCAGCCAGAACCACCGGTTCCTAAAGTATTAGAACCGTAATCGGAACCGCCTATATCGGTTCTTTAGACTTTGGAACCGGTCCCAGAACTCGTAGAAACCGGTTCCAAAACAGGGTACCTGGTTTCAAAAAACTTTTAAAATATTCTCAATAAAAAGTAATGGGGTATTACTGAGAAATGGTTGAACTCAAGCTTTTTAAGTCGTATAACGACCCCCGAAAGCTCAGAAGGAAGGCTCTCATTGCCTTTCCTCTTGACGCATTACAAGACTTCCCCATTTATAAAGAGTGGTCTTCCTTTTTTCCTTACCACCGTCGATATGGGATTTGAATATTGAAACCATGTTTTCTTTTTGAGTTTTTTTCACAATCACATACTTACATTCTGTTTACATATATAGTCATTGATTACTAGCTTACTATTTTTTTTTAAAACGGCAAATCTACACTACTCCGAATACCACATATGTCTCCAATGAAACTTGAACGCTCAACCTCTAAGAGGGAGGACAACACCCGATACCGCTGGACTAGAAGCCCTTTGGTACTAGCTTACTATTAATTTGATTTTAACATCCACTGTATTTGATATAAACCAACACAAGTTACAACGTATTCGATGCTTTATATATGTATATTATTGGTTGATAAAAAAAATTTGGCTTATATTCATGTCCTCGGTGGACGGTGGGGGTTTAAAAGTTGCATCTGTGTAATTAAATTACTTTATATTCATTTTAATATAAAAGCTCTATAATAGATATATATAAACCGGTTCCAACGGGTACCCAGCGGGTATCGGTTCCGAAAAAATGAGAACCGGAACCGGAACCGCTAATGGCGGTTCCGGTTCTGGAACCGACGGTCCAGAGGCGGTTCCGGTTCCCTAAACGGGTACCCGGTTCCGATGCTCACCTAGTGAGGGTGGACGAGAATGGAGATATTGAGTGGTTAAATGTTGGAAACAAAAGTACTAGATAGATTTCTTCATTGTAAACATATGTATATTTATTTATGACTTTAGGAAAAAAAATTCCTTGAGTTTTCTATATAAATATATATAACGTGTGTGTGTGGTATTATATATATATATTATATATATATATATATATATCTATAGATATATTATATATATAGGTTTATGTTCTATGGAAAACAAAAAACTCTAAAAATAAAAAAAATGCATAAAAAATATACTTAGAGATCACAAAACTTTTTTTTTGAATTATTTTTATAAAAATCGCAGCTTTTCTTAAAATTTGCTGAAAAAAAATCAATTTTTTTATCAAAAAAAAAAATTCAAAATTTTTTTCAGCGAATTTGTATAGAAAGCTACGCTTTTTATAAAAAAAATTCAAAAAAAAGTTATGTGATCTCTAAGTTATTGATTTTTATTTTTATTTTTGTTTTTGTTTTAAATTCTATAATATATATATATATAATATATATATATATATATATATATATATATATATATATATATATATATATATATCGAGTCCATATTTTAGAACGTATCGCAATTATTTAGTTTATTAAGTCTTGATTTTTAAAAGTGATCTTTAATAAATATACAAAACATGTATATATTAATGTTGTTGAAGGGTTATAATTATGTAACATATACACTATGATTAACATTTGTTGTTCATTTAACACATATATAATGTATGTTTACGAGATATATAAAGAATTGAAAATTAATACTGTCCAAATTTGTCATATATACTATTAATTGGTATTTGGAAATGTTACATTGACATATATATATATATATATATATATATTAATATATATATATATATATATATATATATATATATATATATAGTGGTGTTATATAATATTAATTATATAACATATATACATTGTGTTTTCATGATTGTCATGTATTGTATATTTTACAAAAGCTCTAGTAGTTACGTTTTGCATTTGACCATAGAAAATGTCTCACATATCTATATATATATAGTTGCACATGATTTTTGAAATGTTATTTTATTTCCACCTTTAAGATTCACATCAATTGGAATCGAATTCTTATATCTTTCCGGAATACATTACCAATAATAGGAATCATGTCGAAATTAATAGTTTAATGTTCCGTGTTTAATAAATCTGAAACGTCTAATTTTTCAACTTTTATAAATGTTTTTACCAAAAATATTTCAAATATGAAATTAAATATTAGGCCATAGTTTGAGTCCAAAAATGTTTTCAAAATTTTCATTTGAGGTGTGCAAGTCCTTCAACGGATAGGAACTGTTTTAGCGATTTTTAAGAAAATCAGTATTATACTGGTTTTGGTTAAGTTCTTGCCTTATTAAGCCTTTTGGGACATGGATATTTGAGTTTTGGGCCTTTTGGGTGGTCCTAATGGATAAAGTTAGAAGATTTATCCTTCTAGATCACATTTTGGACCAAATTCGAGCTTTGGAGCTCTTGGAATAGGAAAAAAACAACTTAATGCATTAAGCTATTGGAACATCGACAACCACAGCGTGTTCCTAGGTCACCACGGCATGGTTGCGGGGAATCTCCCGACTGCTTGGTAGTATGAGTACCACAACGTGGCCAAGGAAGACCACGTCGTGGCGATCAGATGGAGTCAACATTGACTGTTGACTTTGACCGTTGACACTGAGGATTGATTTTTGGTTTATGGATTTTGTTCATCCATTAATGTCCTAATAGGTAAATTAAGGTTTTACCTTGTGTGGTTATCTAGGTGGCACCTAGCACCTGTTGTCGGATTTTGAGGACGTGTTGGCTTTTGAGCTGTTTTGCAAGGTGAGTTTGCACACTATAATGTGGGAAACTAGGGATCGTATGTGCTTGTAGTCTTTATGACTCTTGGTGTATGTGTTGTATGCATGTGCGTCTGTTTTGTTATATATATGTGGGGGTGAAATAGACCCAATACATCCTTGTGCTGGCATATGAGTTGCAATAGAATCGGGGGTGAAATAGACTCGGTACAACCTTGTGTTGATATATGTGTTGAAATAGACTCGGGGGTGAAATAGACACAGGGGTGAAATAGACCCGGTACAACCTTGAGCCGACATATATGTATGGTATGTGGTATTTTGGAGAACTCACTAAGCTTTGTGCTTACGGTTTTTATTTATGTTTCAGGTGCTTCCAGTTCGAAGGGGAAGAGCTCGAGATCATCGCATTGCACACACCATGATTTTCTGCTTATTTGACTCTGATGTACTTTTGGAATGTTTATTGATATACTTTGAATACTTTATGGTTAGACAAAGATGTTTGGATGATGGTTTATTTATATGAAAACAAAATTTGATGGTTCTATGTTTTGGGACGTTACAAGTTGGTATCAGAGCCTTGGTTAGAGGGATTGTAGCATACTCTCGGGTGTGCCTAAACTTAAATTGAGGATTTGATAGATTTTCATAAGAAGAAATGTTTTATAAAATAATTTTTTAATAAAAGAAAAGGGTGTGGTGCATGGAATCGATCGAGCTCAAGTAAGTTTTCCCAAAATACCCATGCATGTTTAGTTATATGATTTGGACTGAGAATCTGTGAATCGCATGCTAGATTAGGTGTAACGTCCCGAAAATTCAAGGTAAATTTTACATTTTTAAAATAATAAAAAATACAACGAGTTATTCCAAAACCGATCAAAGTAAATACATTATTTAAACATGAGAGTAATATCATTAATTTCCAATGTGGAAAACTCTGGGGATATTGTGCAGTAAGCACAAAGCTTAGTGAGTTACCCAAAATACCACATACCATAACATACAAGTGTCATGGGCTACCCCATGGTCTTTCCTTGCAATGATGAGGGCCAAATCCCGGTCTGGGCTACCCCTATGGTCTTTCCTTGTAATGCGGAGGGCCAAATCCCAGTATTACATACAAGTGCCATGGGCTACCCCCATGGTCTTTCCGTTCAATGCCGAGGGCAAAATCCCGGTCTTACATACAAGTGTCAGGGCCAGATCCTGGTCTTTCATACAATTCTTAGGAGCCAGATCCTGGTCTTGTTGGGTTTTGAGCATTCTAACACTCCTATGGTGTACATGCAACCCTAGAAACCTTGGATCTATGTTTTACTAAGATACATGCAAAATTGATTTTCCAAGGTTCTTAACCTATCTAGCATACATGGGGAACTTTTATAACATAAAAGATAGTAAGAAATACATACCTTTAGTTGCTTGGATTCCTTGAGAACCTTGTGAGCCTAGCACCTCAAGTGTGATGCCTCAAATGTCTCACACAACACCAAATACACTTAGAATAACCTTGAGAGAAATAGAACACTTCTAAAATTGGCTATGCCCTCTTGTTCTCACACTCGTGCCGATTTTGGTTGCTCACATATTCCTTTTATAGTGTGTCATAGGTAGGGTTACACCATGTAAACCCTAACTTGACATGGCTCTTCATTTCCATGATCCATGGGTTCAAAGACACCATGGAGCATCCATGGAGCGTCCT